GTTGTACATGTATTTAGTATGCAGAATACATTTTGGAATGAGAAAGTTTGTGCATCAATTACTTGAATGATTTCTCTCCTGCTTATATTAGCTACAGTTGCAAGAAAAGGTATGTGAACCCTTTGGAATGATATGGATTTCTGCACAAATTGGTCATAAAATGTGATCTGATCAACATCTAAGTCACAACAATAGACAATCACAGTCTGCTTAAACTAATAACACACAAAGAATGAAATGTTGCCATGTTTTTATTGAACACACCATGTAAACATTCACAGTGCAGGTGGAAAAAGTATGTGAACCCCTAGACTAATGACATCTCCAAGAGCTAATTGGAGTGAGATGTCAGCCAACTGGAGTCCATTAAATGAGATGAGATTGGAGGTGTTGGTTACAGCTGCCCTGCCCTATAAAAAACACACACCAGTTCTGGGTTTCCTTTTCACAAGCATTGCCTGCTGTGGATGATGCCTCGCACAAAAGAGCTCTTAGAAGACCTACAATTAAGAATTGTTGACTTGCATAAAGCTGGAAAGGGTTATAAAAGTATCTCCAAAAGCCTTGCTGTTCATCAGTCCATGGTAAGACAAATTGTCTATAAATGGAGAAAGTTCAGCACTGCTGCTACTCTCCCTAGGAGTGGCCGTCCTGTAAAGATGACTGCAAGAGAACAGCGCAGACTGCTCAGTGAGGTGAAGAAGAATCCTAGAGTGTCAGCTAAAGACTTACAAAAGTCACTGGCAAATGCTAACATCCCTGTTAGCGAATCTACAATAAGTAAACAACTTAACAAGAATGAATTTCATGGGAGGATACCACAGAGGAAACCACTGCTGTCCAAACAAAACATTGCTGCACGTTTACAGTTTGCACAAGAGCACCTGGATGTTCCACAGCAGTACTGGGAAAATATTCTGTGGACAGATGAAACCAAAGTTGAGTTGTTTGGAAGAAACACAAAACACTATGTGTGGCTAAAAAAAAGGCACAGCACAACAACATCCAAACCTCATCCCAACTGTGAAGTATGGTGGTGGGGGCATCATGGCTTGGGGCTGCTTTGTTGGACGGATTGCTATCATCGAATGAAATATGAATTCCCAGGTTTATCAAGACATTTTGCTGGAGATCTTAAGTCCATCTGTCTACCTGCTGAAGCTCAACAGAAGATGGGTGTTGCAACAGGACAATAACCCAAAGCATAGAAGTAAATCAACATCAGAATGGCTTAAACAGAAGAAAATACGCCTTCTGAAGTGGCTCAGTCAGAGTCCTGACCTCAACCCGATTGAGATGCTGTGGCATGACCTCAAGAAAGCGATTCACACCAGACATCCCAAGAATATTGCTGAACTGAAACAGTTCTGTAAAGAGGAATGGTCAAGAATTACTCCTGACCGTTGTGCACGTCTGATCTGCAACTACAGGAAACGTTTGGTTGAAGTTATTGCTGCCAAAGGAGGTTCAACCAGTTATTAAATCCAAGGGTTCACATACTTTTTCCACCTGCACTGTGAAAGTTTACATGGTGTGTTCAATAAAAACATGGCAACATTTCATTCTTTGTGTGTTATTAGTTTAAGTAGACTGTGATTGTCTATTGTTGTGACTTAGATGATGATCAGATCACATTTTATGACCAATTTGTGCAGAAATCCATATCATTCCAAAGGGTTCACATACTTTTTCTTGCAACTGTATCTTCTGTATTTTACAGGTTTCAGGGAAAAAAATTGGTGCTGGTTTTTCCTTCATCCTAATCTTTTGTTTTGAACATTCTATTTTGGGACTACTCTGACTTGGACACAATACGAGATTTGTCTTTTTACACCATAAGTATTTAATCATTTGTAATGATATTTTTTATACACTTTATAGATAACATAGGATATGTATCTATACAACACAATTTTTAATATATTTGACTATTCTTACACTTGGTCACTTTATACATATTGTTTGACATTTATTCACTTTATACCTATATATGCACTTTATTTAATCTTGTCGCTGCAACATGTATATACATACAATTTTTTGCAACTGCACTTTAGTATGTGGACTTTTTGTTCACTTAGCGGTACTAATTTATTCACTATCTTTGCACAGAATAATGAACTTTATACTTTATTCATGTTTTGTATAGATATAGACATTGTGATTTTTAATGAAAATGGTATTGATTGTCACTGGTCTATCCGATTGTCCCTTATTATTGATTACTATTTATTCAGATTCTATGTTCACCTAATTCTATTTCACCTATGTTCATATTTTCATAATGTACTTATTTTACTGCTTATACATGTAATTATGATGTATTGTTTTGTCTGGTGGGATCCATGCCTGGTTCATTTTAATAAACGTGAGCTTGTCCACGTTGGCTGTGGACAGGCGGCTGCACTTGTCTGTGATAACGCCACCTGCCGGGCTAAACACACGTTCAGACAATACACTGGCTGCAGGGCAAGCCAGCACCTCCAAGGCATAAAGGGCAAGCTCAGGCCATGTGCCCAATTTGGAGACCCAGAAGTTGAATGGGGCAGACCCATCAGTCAGTACGTGTAGGCACGTACTGTTCCACCATGTTGCTGAAATGCTGCCTCCTGCTAAGACGTTCCATATCAGCTGGTGGTGCTGGTTGTTGTGGCGTGCTGACAAAGCTTTTCCACATTTCGGCCATGCTAACTCTGCCTTCTGAGGTGCTGGCTGTGCCCCAGCAGCATTGGCGACTTCTTCCTCCTCTTCTGCCTTCGCCTTGTGCTTCCACTGAGCCCCCGGTGTCAGTTGGGAATGCCCTCAGCAGCGCGTCTAGCAGCGTGCGCTTGTAGTCGCGCATATTCCGATCACGCTCCAGTGAGGGAATTAAGGACGGCACGTTGTCCTTGTAACGGGGATCCAGCAGGGTGGCCACCCAGTAATCAGCACAAGTTAGAATGTGGGCAACTAGGCAGTCTTTGCGCAGGCACTGCAGCATGTAGTTGCTCATGTGTGCCAGGCTGCCCAGAGGCAAGGACAAGCTGTCCTCTTTGGGAGGTGTATCGTCTGTGTCCTCCGTATCCCCCCAGCCACGCTCCAGTGATGTCCACGAGTTGTGTTGGGTGCCACCCTGCTGTGAACACGGTTCCTCCTCCTTCTCCTACTCCTCCTCCTCCTCATCCTCCTCCTCCTCCAGAACTGTGCCCTGGCTGGACAATTGTTTACCTGGCCTATGCTGGTGCAGGAACCCACCCTCCGAGCCACATGTGAATGACTGGCCTGATAACCGTGGAAATGATCCCTCTTCCTCCTCCTCCGTGGAAATGACCCCTCTTCCTGACCCTTCTTCCTGAAGTCAGATAAGTGCCATCTAGGTATGGCTGAGGTACAGTACCTGGGACACAGAGTGGGATGTGGGAGCCAGAGACCAGAGCCAGCCAAGGTAGAGGCGGTAGCTAACTGGCCCACACCCCTCACTAAGACCCATGTACTAGCCTTCTTGGGGACTGCAGGGTACTATAGACATTTTGTCCCCGACTATAGCGCTATCGCCAAGCCCCTGACGGACCTGACTAAGAAGAATTTACCAAAGCAGGTCCTGTGGTCTCCAACTTGAGAAGCCGCATTTAAAGCATTGAAGCAAGCACTTGTTAATACCCCAGTCTTGGCTGCCCCTGTACCTAACAAATATTTTCTTGTCCACACAGACGCTTCCATGTTTGGACTGGGGGCTGTGCTGAGCCAACTCAGGGAGGATGGAGGAGAGCACCCTGTCGCATACCTGAGCAGAAAGTTACTACCCAGGGAAGTTAGTTATGCGGCAATGGAGAAGGAGTGCTTGGCCCTGGTCTGGGCCCTCAAAAAGTTACACCCCCTACCTGTACGGACAGGTTCTTACTGAAATGTCCAGGTTCTGGTTCAGGGTCCAAAAATTTACAGTTTGGGTTCGCTCAACTCTAAAAGTAAGGGTAAAGTAAAGTGAAGTATGCAGGAGTAAAAAAAGTGATAAAGAGAATAGGATGAAGAGCAGGAGGAAAGTACGAAGTCGGAGCTGGCGCTAAATCAGAACAAATATACAAAAGTGGGATACAGCTGGGTTCTACAATGCAAAAGATGAACAGTACATAGTGATGTATAGTAACACAAATTAATATGGCAACTATAGTTTGCACTTACAAGATGGAAGTTCAAGAAGCGCCTTGAAGCCCTAAAGGGCTGTAGTAATCAACTCTCCTCCTTGGGTAAGTATATTCGGCTTGCGTTCTACGGGGGTATTTCCTGTTCCGGTTATTTCAGAAGAGTTCCTAAATGCCGATTGTGCTCCATCTCCATAGTACCATGCGTTCCAATTTGCTGGAACTGCTATACGGCAGTCCAGCGTATGTAACAGTAGTATCTTGTAATATAAAAACATAACAAACAACGTGGCAGGTAATTAATATGAATGTACCAAAGAACAAATACAAAAATGGGAAAACAATTTCTCACCTTTAGAAACAGCCCACTATGGTAATGATGACAGAATGAAATATTGGAAAATTGTATATATATATATATATATATATATATATATATATATATGGAAACTTTAATATGAAAATATAAGAAAATTTTTTTTAAATAAAAATATGAATAATGAGTAAAAATTTATATAAAAAAAGAGATATTATAAAAAATATATATACCCAAAACATCGATACAGGATGCTTTTTAAAAGCAGTGAACCACAGAAACACCCATGTATATACATGAATGTACTTACATACACACTTGTGTGCATGAAGGGCAGTGACCTAGTGAAAGTGAACGGTGAGAAATCGGAGTCCCTTACAATAATTTCAGATATCTGAACACAAAAAACAAATCCAAAATGAGAAAATATTGTATCTTAACAAGTGCAGGGGAACCCCATGTGTAAAGAATGAATTATAGTAATATAATAGACAAAATTAGAGAATACGAAAGAAAAAAAAAAGTATAGATATATACCATTCACTTGGAAATATCAGTATATGAAACTTAGGTTCTAAATTTTAATTCTCTGTCACCTCCCTTCTAATGGGACGACACTTGCTCGATACCTATACCCCTAAAATTCCTCCAATTAAAGTGGGGGGCAGTAGTTACAGTGGACCAGAAAAGAGTGGGTAGTGATGCCCTTTTTAATATTATTGATATGTTCCATTAATCGCACTTTTAAATATCTTTTAGTTTTTCCAACATATTGTTTGCCACACGGACATTGCAGCAGGTAAATTACAAAATCTGTGTGGCAACTAATTCTGGACTTCACCAGAAATGTTTTCCCACTAATGTTGCTCTCACATTTTGAAGATTGCCCCAGACTCTTCCTTGAACATGCCGTGCACATTTGGCAACCTTTAAACGCTTTATGTGTATGGTTAATATTTTTATTTTCTAGGGTTCTGCCTTTTTTAGGGTAACTTGGTGCCACAAGCTTTTTCAAATTTAGATTTTTTTTTTTTATAAATAATTGGTGGTCGGTTTGGTAAAAAGCTACCCATTACTGGATCCTGGAGTAGTATAGGCCAAACTTTATTTAGGCAGTTCTTTATCTTCCAGTGCTCGGTGTTATATTTTTTTTAACAAAGGAATGTCTAAACTTTTCATCTGGGACACTTTTTGGTCTGTCGGTAAGCAATTCATTTCTGTCTTTCTGTGCGATCATCCTAATCTCTTTTTCAATAGAATTCTTGTTATACCCTTTTTTTTTTTTTTACCAACTTGTTTTCACATGTCCTGCCTGAATTTTAAAATCTTGTATATTGGAACAGTTGCAACGTACTCTAGTTATTTGACTCCTTGCAATACTATTCAGCCATGGTTTATGGTGGCAACTCTTCCTGTGGACATAACTATTCCCATCAGTTTTTTTGAAATAGAATTTTGATTTCACCCTATCACCTTCACAGAACAGGCTTAAATCCCAAAAATGTATGAAATGTTTATCCCATTCTGGTGTGAACTTCAAGTTAAAAGATAAGGAATACTTAAGAACAAATGTAGAAAATGAAGAGTACAAGCGCTTATTGTGGTTATCTTATATCCTTATATATACCAAATTTCCGTGAGCTGCTATATCACAGTGCTTATCTTTTTAACAGAAATTGTGGAAAGAAGGAGTTTCAGGTGAAGCGCTCTAATAAATAGTGGATATAGTGGATATGTAGATGTATAATTATAATTAAAAATTAATATACCTTAAGGGGTCATATATACTTATATATAGTCCCAATGATTTCATATAAACCTTAAATGAAAAACACAAACATACAGAACATAGTGTAACCTGTATATAAATGTGTAAAAATAAAGGTAGAATAGTGAATTACTAACTTACACTTTTCTGAGCTAAAACACTAGCTCAGGTATATACGCCTTAGGGTCCGTTGAGGCGACCCTCACCCTCCTTAGGATCCAAATTTTCTTCAGTGGTTATGTCCTAGATGATAAGTATAGGAGGGAGAAATATAGCGTAGTACAGTTGACATACTGGGTATATATAATGAGATAACACGTATGTACTCACAAACCCAGAGCTAATAGATCGGCTCACTTCTTCAGGTGTATGTGGTTAAGGACCACATTCCTTCTTTATAATAGCAGGTAAGGATGAACGCCGTTAATGTAAAGATTATGATTTATTGTTTATAAAAAATATATATTAACATAAGATATAAAAATATATATTAACATATGATATAAAAAATACTCCATAAAATAATAAACACGTATTAGGCTATAGTCCAACGGACAGTTATATGTGATCACTGTTCTTTCCAAGACGCATTTTGCCAAAGGGCTTTCTCAGTTGGAAAAAGTCTGGGTGAACTCTGAAGACTCCTTCCTGCTTTAAATAGTCTTGTTGATTGTAATATCTCTGTATCTGGGCTTGTAATTTTCGCGGGCAATCTCCATAGAAACTGAGATGCCCTGCAATGAAGCCTCCACTTCATCCATTCCCTTCCGTGCACGTGACAGCTACGTACTTCCGGTTTCTGCTCTCTTAGAGTTATGTGTTCCACGGTGCGTTTCACACTGTAGTACAGCCTCTTTAACTCCTTTGCTTGCATTAAATGATGAATTACTCAAAACACACAGTTAAGATATATATATAGTTAGATTACATCATCCTCTACAAAATATTTAGTACATTAAAAACAGTTTACAATTATACATGCATATAAGGTAGTGTAGCGATTAAATTTTATTCACATAATAAAATAGGTATGTAATTGTCACGTATTCATCCGCTTACAAAAATGTGGTTAATGACATTTACTGTCCACACAGGAAAAGTTGTGCCGCGCAACAACCAAGGGTTAATGCTGAGCAGCAATTATGCAAATGAGATCTGGTAACTGCCTTTGGGGTCAAAGGCCGGTTACAGCCTATCAGACCTAGAGGAGTTCTCATCCTGCTCAGTGCCCTGTCATGGTTTCCCTTGTGGTTGTCCGAGAGCGTGTTATTGATTCTGGTTATTCTGGTTATTTGACTTTGGCATTGTTTTTGACTTCCCTGTTTTCTGACATCCCTGACTCCTGTCTTTTCCTTATCATTGTGTCTCTTTCTGTTTCCCTTGACCTCGGCTATTCCTGACTATTCTTTGGTACGTTAGTCCGGCCATTCTAAGGTCCGGTATACATTACCTATTAGTCCTCTGTGTTACACAGTTCTACGTGCTGGATCATTCTGTAATCCTGACAGTAATCCAATAATCACTATTGGAGGAAGGATAACTATAATCCAAAAAGGGATGAAAAAAGGAACCATTGTAGATAGATAGGGACTCTACACTACTATACCTGGATTGAAAATGGATTTTGGTTTAAAACAATCAAAATCCTTATATTTTCTTTGTGTCTCGTCGAAATATTTAGGAATGTATGTTAATGTCGGTGGAGTGGGATTTTTTATAAAATGCCTTTTAACTGTTTACAAACTTATTTAGATCAATAAATAAAGTGAAGTCATCTGCTTTCTGGGCTGGGGTAAATTTAAGTCCCCTTTCTCATACTCGGATTTTTACTAAATCTGTTAGTGGTATATTAGTTATATTGAAAATACCTTTATTACGTTAATTTAATGGGATTTAACTTGTCCTCCTCTACTCTCATTCTTTTCAAAGTAGACTCTTTTTGTAGAGGGGAGAAATGATTGGGAAGTACCCAAGTGGTTTTCTGTGGTAGAAAATAATTTGTTATCCTTTGGTCTTGTTGTGTGTGACCTTTGTCTAAAACATTATTTCTATTATTAATGGGAGAAGTTTCGTCCTGAAGTTATGTGTCACTTCTAGTTGCCTCAGCGTAAGATCTTTTATTTATGACATCATTAGGTTTTTCACTTCTTTTTTGCAGATCACGTCTATAATGACTGTCTTCTTTTGGAGGTGTTCTGGGATTTCTCTGTGTTCTCTCACTATAATCATAGGAGAGGGTTTTAGGAGATCTATGGATTCTTTGTGATCTATCATTAGAAGAAGATCTATAATTATTGACATAATTAGAGTTTCTAAGTTATTTTTGTGATGAATTTATTTTGTTGTGTGTAGATGTTTTAGTTATTGCCTTCTATGTGAAATTGTATTCACTGTAGCAAAAACGTTGCTTAACTTGTTCTCTCTGTCTCTCCTGTATTTTCATATTAAAGTTTCCTCATACATACATACAATTTTCCAATATTTAATTCTGTCATCATTACCACAGTGGTCTGTTTCTAAAGGTGAGAAATTGATTTCCCATTTTTTCATATTGCATGTATTCTTTGGTACATTCATATTGATTACCTTCCAAAATTCTACTGTTTCATATGCTGGACTGCCATATAGCGGTTCCAGTAAATTGGAACGCATGGTACTATGGAGATGGAACGCAAGCAGCGTTCAGGAACTCTTCTGAAATAACTGGAAATAACCCAGTGGAATGTAAACATCACACTGTGGAACGAAAGTCGAATATACTTAGAGAATTGGAGGGAAATCATACCAGCAACTGGGAATGGCTGGAAAGAAGATCAATAAGGACCTATGAGGAGAACTTAGCCCCGTAATTACGGATGTGATTGGTTCTAGGTCCAATTAACCCACAGAGGATTCTCCAATCAACATCAAGGACTGGTACTATTTAAATGGGACTGAGTGTCAGGCCGTATCTGTTCCGGCTCCGGCGTTTCCGGTATGCGGAGCCGCCCCCGCCCCCTTTGTGAAGCGGCTCTCTTACGCTATCTTTTACGCTCCAGATTCAAACCGCTTGGTGATTCTCGGACCTACTTCCGCATTCAAACGCCGGCTAAGCACTTCGTTCACAAAATTACCAAACATTTGACTACTATAAAGGATTTTGCCTCCTCTGTACCTCTGACCACGGATTGTTTTGGAGTCTCCTGAAAACCGGACTATGTATATTATTCATTCCTTGGACTCAAGCTATACATTCCCATGGAGGACAACTCCCATCAATCTTAAGTATACCAATTACTCTCATCTCTGAAGACTTATTTACTAATGAACTGTTTCTTGCTTGCTATAACCTGCAGCTACTTCCTAATGTATTGTGACTTGCATGTTATAATTCTCAGTTACTAAAATATTATTGCATTCATTAAGACTTCACTTTCATCACTAACTGCCTGCAACCACCACTTTGCTTTAAAGCTACAGTATCCTTAATAATTCTCCACTTTCTTGCTATTGTAATTAAGGAGTTCTACAAGCTGCAGTTGAGTTCCAATTCCAAAACCCCTTGTAGCATAACACTGAGGGGGGTTGGGACAATGCACAATATATTCTATTTCTTTTTGCTCATTGATATCTCTGAGGAAGTCCATCTTGACATATTTTTACTGTGTTTATTTGATTTTAAATCTTTATATACTAGGCTTTTATGCCAAATAAAAGATTCAATTTTTCTTTGATTCCTGACCAATTTTTCTTTGATCCCTCCGTCCTTTGAGTTACTGTGTCTGCTGAACTATCTACTACAGCCCATGGAGGAAAATTGATTACTGCAGCCCTTTTGGCCTTCAAGGTGCTTCTTGAACTTCCATCTTGTGAGTACAATCTATAGTTGCCGTATTAATTTGTGTTACTATATATCACTACATACTGTTCATCTTTTGCATTGTAGAACCCAGCTGTATCCCAGTTTTGTATATTTCTATCTGTCTAATAAGAGGCACTATTGAGGAAGGCCTCTTGGGAAGCTGTTTTGCCGTACTCAGTTAAGTACTGTTTCAGTTCCACCTACTACTCATTTGGTTTTAAGGTGGAGCATTTTTTTTTTACCAGACGATAAATCAGAGCACACAGTTCCCAGGATTGTTCTTTCAGGCTCTTAAAGAAACTTGGGCCTGAATTGATTTCACACAATGTTTTGCAAAATGCATGACAATTTGGCAACCATGTTCCAAATTGTCATTTGTTACTGGGGGGGGAAAGGAAGGTTGAAGTCTCTGCTCAAACAAGCTTACATGTTAGAAGGTGTGGAGTATAGTGACACAAAAGGAAATGGTAGGGTAGAAAGTAGGTTAGAATAGTTTTTCACTGAGGGCTTAGTGTTTTTCTTGTATGACAGTTGCATGAGAGGAAGGAAAGTGTGGGGAGGGAAGGCTATTAATAGTTTAATTGATATGCTTTCCTGAAGATGATTTTCAATGATTTTTTTAAGGAATGGAGACTGGATGAGAATCTAATGGAGCAGGGAAGGGAGTACCATAGGGACAGTGCAGTCTTAGGGAAGTCTTGGAGGTGGGTGTCAGAGGTGAGAATATTAACAGAAGATAGACGCAGGTCCTTGGCAGAGAATAGGGGCTTAGACGGGACATGCATGTGCATTAGGAAGGATAGGTAGTTTGGAGCAGCATTATGTAGAGATTTGTAGGCAAAATTTCTTCCTGCAGAGTGACTAAATGTACAGAGCCTTTTAAAAGGTTGAGTTAAGGACCCACTGTATTCCATAATAAGTTTTTTAGTTTTGAATTAAACATCTTCAAGTAATAAAGTCTATATCACACTGATGGCCCGCGCAGATGAGATTGCAAGCAGTCAATGGATGCCACACTATTTACACCAAACAAATTCCCCCTGTCTCATCCCACATTGGCGATGGATTACCAATCACAAGAGTCATGGATTTATTTCATTGCTGATAGACCAACACTTTCTTATTCTTTTTCTCCAGAGGTATTATGTACTGTTATTTGAAGCATTTTATTAATCATATCTTCTCTTCCTTCCAAAAGATACTTGAAAGACAACGTGAACTACATACAGTATCCTCAATGTCCACCCAATGGTTACTACTGTCACGCCCAGCAAGCAGAAACCATTGTCGCACAATAGAATATTGCTACTAAATGTGATTTGTGTAGTGGATACATGAATTGGTCACCTAGTAGAGATGGTGTGGCTGATTAAAGCAAAAAAAGGGTTAACCTGATTGTATAATATTGTGATAGATGTCAGAAGATTTACAACATGCATTCCTTTTTGAAGCTGTGACTCTAAACAGTGTTCCTCTGCCAGGTGTGAAATTTTACACATAAATTGCAAGTCTAGTTTTATTAGAGTAGCTAGCTATCATATAATTTGCTCGTATTACCTTATAAGTAACTGGTCCTTTTGAAATGCTAAGTACTTTTTAGCAGTCAGGTCTCAGGAGACAATTGTCTGCCATAGAGTCATATCCAAAACCATTAATAATAACCCAGAGATTAATAAAAATGCCTCCTATTGTACAAATTCAGAACAGCAGAAGGGCACCCTACAATATTTAGATATTGTACTAAATTGTATTTTGTGGGTTGTTAGTCTAATTTGCTTTGGGTAAAAGCACTTGTCCAATAAGGGCCACTTATCTTTTTATAGTCCCTTTCTTCAGAGTCTGATTTTCTCAACTTCTATGTTAGTCAGATACCACTTTGACCGTGGGAAGCAAATCCTACCAAGGGTTCTTCTTGGGATAACTGGAGTAGCCTGTGTACCTGTGTACTTGTCTCACTCACTCGACACATCACATTTCGTCTCTATTGGCAGACTTTTTCAAGAGCTGTGATCTTCTGCTATCTATCCTCTTTTTTATACCATTCTAAATTAGAGTGTTATGGGCAAATGCAAATATTGTATTTCTTAAACTGTGTACTGACAAGGTGTTAGAAATGGAACATATTGTTTTTCATAACTGTGTCTTTAAGCAATAACCTCTTACTTACCTTGCGACATACAATAACAATAATGCATAAACAAGCTTCAAGGCTATGCTATGACTCTTTCAGTACATAATATACTGTGATAACCCTAAGTAGATAAAGATGTTCAGACTTTAAAATGCCATCTTGACCTAAGTGAGGAAAATTTCCATGAAGTATAAACCCTTTAGTTATGGCCTTGTATTTTTGACAAGTTAAGGGAGGTCCTAAAATGAATAAAAGTAAACAAGTTACTTTTTCATATATGAACTATGGTGACCCTAAAATGGAGACACCTAAGGTATAAATAGGTGTACTTTTAAATGTTAAGACACAGAGGAGAGACCTGGAGACAGACGCTGCTCCATCTTAAAATGACAGAGAGGCTGACATGATGACATGTTCAGGAGGGTATGTTAACCTATTAATGATATTTGCAAGCATTTAGTTTAATCTTATAAACTCTGCTATAATGGATTTTATATGTCTATATTTATATTTTTATATAAGAAATATCTAAAAGACAAAACTTTATTGCTTCCAAGACAATCCTTATTTTATATTATATTCTCAATTATTAATATATTTTAAATAGAGGATCTCTTACTAACTACCGTATTTATCGGCGTATAACACGCACCGGCGTATAACACGCACCTCATTTTAAGAAGGAAATTTCAGGGGAAAAAACTTACATTTCAAATAAAGAACTTCTTACCCCCTTCTTACTCCCCCCTCCCCCTCTTCTTACCCCCCTTTCTTACTCCCCCTCTCCCCTCTTCTTACCCCCCTTTCTACTCCCTCCCTCTCTTCTTACCCCCTTTCTTACTTTCTTACTCCCCTCCCCCTCTTCTTACTTCCTCCCCTCTTACCCCCTTCTTGCTCCCTCCCCTTTTCTTACCCCTTCTTACTCCTCCCTCTTCTTACACTCTCCCTCTTCTTACCCCTCTTTCTTGCTCCCCCCTCCCCCTCTTCTTACTCCCCCCCTCCCCTCTTCTTACCCCTTTACCCCTCGTGGCGGGCAGGGTTTCTGTTTCCTGTACCGGTCGGACTGACAGGAAGGTGCACACTGAGCGTGCACCTTCCTATCACTCCGGCCGGGCACCGCGGACAGCAGAGCAGCTCGGCCACGCTACAGGGGAGGTGAGAACCAACTGCAGCCGCCTGAGCGCTCTTGACAGAGCGCTCAGGCGGCTGCAGTATTTAAAGGGCCGGCGTATAACACGCACCCATAATTTCCCCCCTATTTTCAGGGAGAAAAAGTGCGTGTTATACGCCGATAAATACGGTATATAAAATTTGGCTAAGATATCTGTATGGTTAGCCCTGCTAAGTTCTATGCTTTAAGACGTTATAGTGGTAAATAAGAGAACCTAAGAACCTAAGAAGAGCTAATTCCTCAAATGCTGCTCTCACATCTGTGTTCAGGGCACTCAAGTGGGACTCCAATGCTTCAAATGATGACATCACCGCGCTCAATGTTATATACGCTCGAACGCAGTTTTGCCTCCCATGATTGCACTGCTCAGAGAAAAGAAGCATAATAAACTTTTTTATTAATATAGCTCAAGGACAAACATGATGGAAACCAATCTCCTTTTATGTAACAGACAAACTCTACTCTATGGTGATGTGACTGAGCTACTGTACCTCTGCCAAGTCTGCTTCCTCGCTGCTATCAGGGTCCCTGGAGCACTTTGGACCCAGTCACTGAAGCTTGACTGGGATCGCTGAGGGCCTTTTCCACCCTGGACCAGACTACTGTGTTTATAGCTCTGGAAACACTCTCTCCAGCAGTGCAGTGATCATAGCCCTATCCCCAAACACCAGACAACACTTAGTGAAGGTTAAAAACAACAACTCCGGCCAACCAACTAACTGACCAGACGTGTACACGTGGAGCTCCGTTCAAGCATTGGGACAAAAGCGGTCTAATTGTGAGACCAAAATGGGGAGCAAGAACAAAAAATTTTGCCTAACAGAGACCTCTCAGTTAGCCGATATTAGGCTCTCGTTTGCAGGCCTACACCGCCAGCTCAGTCCAAGATAGAGCCGGAGGCACACAGCAAAGAGGAGGCCTAGGTACACTCCCAGGATGACAGGGAAAGCCTTACCTCACCATCATTGGGGGCCCTCTGTCGAGACATGGATTCAAATGAAGACTCTTGCCCAGTGATGAAGAGGCCCTGAGGATATCAGAGACCTCCTGAAAGAAATGAGGGAGGTTTGGAAAGCCTCTGAGAAACGCTAAGAGAGATGTGGGCTCTCCAGCAAAGAATTATTGCATCCAGGGAAGGTGACAGTGAACACCACCTTCAAACCACCAAGGTTCAAATGCAAGAAATTTCCAAAGACTAACTCGGACCGTCACAACACTAAAATCAAGACACAGGAAACAGAATATACGCTTCCGAGGCATCCCGGAGCACATCAGTGGGGATGCTCTATTGCATATCCCCAGTGATAACTGGCCTCAATAGGCAGCAAAGGTGGCACAGACACAGGGATGTTACTCTCTGCATTCCGAATCAGGAAAGCCACAGCAGCTCCAGATGACGCACCCAGGGAAACTATAGTCGTAACCAGAGACTGCTATTATGTTATGCTCCAGAAACCTAAGTACTATACAATTAGCGGGAAGCACAGTGGCTCTCAATGGAGACATCCCATTCACAGCACCAGTAGAATGGAGGCAGCTTGCCCCAATAGCTAAGCAGCTCCAAGAGGCAACAGTCCAATACCAATGGGGGGCGGATGGCTTTCTGCAGGTCCAGAGGGGAGACCACGCACTCACCTTGTCCTCTGTGGATGACCGATAGGCATTCCTACAGAAGCTGAACTTGCCAACCAGGAAAATAGTCCGAAGCAGATGTGCTGAGAATCGGGCACAGCAGGCACCTAGAGGTGGGCCAGTGCTAGCAAAGCCCTAATTAAACTCAAAAGAACCACAAGTGTGTAAGCACTATGGAATATGAGATTAAAAGGAATTGCACCAATATGGATGCTTGCGAAACCCAGGTTCATAAATTAATAGACGTGTTCGCAGCCAAGCACTATCCAAAAACTCTATTAGATAAGGCGTATAAAGAGATAAAGACTATCAATAGGGAAGAACTTTTAGGGAATTCCAAAAAGGGAAAGAAAAGTAAAGAAAATAAGGGTAATAAGGTCCCGTTGATTTTTAATTATTCAGGGAAAAGTAGAGAACTAAAAAATATCATAAATAAGTATTGGTTTGTTTTACAAGAGGATCCCCTTCTGGATAAAATAAACCTAGGGTTAGATATAGAGGAACTCCCAGCATAAAAAATAATTTGGTGAGAAGTAGAAAACCAAATTAAAACCTTTCTTAATCAAGATGTGGGTTTTTTCCAACGCAGATTTTGCTTGGCATGTAGAACCACAGGTGCCTCCAAATGTGTTAAAAGAGAACTAATAGGAGGAAACACAAAACAAATATATCAAGTTAAACAAGTAATAACTTGTCATACCACCAATTGCATCTATGTCCTTACATGTCCATGGAATATGCACTATGTAGGGAAAACCACCAGATAAGTGCATATTTGCATTGAGGAACATGTACGAAACATTAAACGGGGTTTCAAAGAGCATCCCTTATCCTCACACTTCATATACAAACACCAGGGGGATGTTACAAAACTGCAGTTTATTGGAATTGAAAGAGTGAGCAGGAACTGGAGAGGTGAACATTTGGACAACAAACTGGCGAAGCAAGAGATGAGGTGGGTGTTTAAATTGAAGTCGCTGTCTCCTAAGGGTTTGAACAGAGATTTCGAGATCTGTCATTTTCTCTAGTTCTTTACATTGGATAGGTAATTCTTGAAACACATTATGCACCTTTAAGATGCTTGTATCTTTTTGATTACTCTGATTATGATGTCTCTTCTTTCTCTTTTTAGAAGGAGTTCGAATTACTAGATATATAATTTCCATTTTTATTTTTACCATTATATGTGAATGTGATGTTTTTGGGATATTTACAAGTCTGGTTTGTAACATCTTGTCTATGGGATAGTATCTATATACATTGTAACATAAATATTATGGGCTGGTCCCATAATTTCATATGTTTGTAGTCGGTTTTATTTCTGTATATGAATCAAATGTATAACACCATCTAGGGATGAATGCCATTGTAAAAATATTTACGTAGAACATCATGTACCCAATATTGTTACCTGAAGAATATCCTTGCAAAATAGTATGTATTTTTAAACATTGTCATCTTAAGGAGTTTTTAACACAGTATCAATACTGTTATATAAAAGGACACCGTGTAATCTTTGAGTTTCATGAATTTGTATTATTTTATAGCATTTTGGTATTGATTTGGTATCAATTTTGGATTGATTTGGATCTTTTGGTACACTGTCCCTAGTGGACGAATATATAGAATAAAGTTTGATATTAAGGGTGAATATCTCTTTAAAGGAGAATATCCATATAGAGAAAAATGTATTTAGATATACCAAATTTCGGATTTCTAATTATAAAACAAGGATATTCTTCTATTTCCATCTGATTGATGTGTATATTTAATACTGAAATCTAATTGTGTATCTTTTTTAACAATATATGTTTTGTATTCGATTGACTTGATATTGTGTGCAATTACTAGATAAACACCAGTCCTTAATTGAGCTAAGTAAGGTAGTTGGATTAAACATTTGTAAATAAGAGTAGGTGGAACTTTATGTTCGAATCTACATCTGTATAAAGAAGGAGCTAGATTAGCTTGGGTGATTAGACCACACCCCCCGACCAATGGTACAATAGAGGGGGAGGAGACAGACGCTTAAGAGAGAGGGCTGGAGTGGAATGACGGTGTCAGAGGAAGGCTGTGGAGGCGGGCGAAACTTGTCATGCATACGTCACTTGAGAGGCGGACCCGGAAGCGGATGACATGATTGGGCCGGACGAAACCAGGAAGTGACTTTTGTTTTGCCGTTTTATATGCTTTTATGTGGGTAGCTTTGAAAGCATAACCCACCACTAACCAAGTATGGATTTGAACTTTTGTCTTATAATAAATTACTTTTGATACTATTCAATTGGAGGTCCTGCCTCTCTCTATGCTCTATTTGCAAAGCATTATCAAGCTATCAGTGGATATACTGCTTGGAGTTGTCTTCAGTGTGGGGATACTCCCTCTCCAGAGGAGCTTTGAATACCCAGAGCCAGGGGTGATAGGGCTCTGGTATATGTGAGTTTTTTCCCTCATACCCCCCTGTGTTTTAACTTTTGTCTAGTCCAGATAGTCTGCACTATTATTTGTCTCTTTTTATGTTTACAGACTAATCTACCGCACTTTTTTATTAAAGCCCAAATTAAAGCTCACATAAGCACTCATCCATTTATATTAGCCTCCATTTTCCAGACACAGACTTGAGTAGTGAAACCACCCTAAATAAGCCATTCCATATGCATATACTAAATGTACTCCAGTGGTCAGATTACATTTTTGTTTTTTCATTCAAGATGGTTACTTTTATTCCAGTATCACTGAATCCCCCACTCGTCTCTGTGTACAGTGTTAGCCTCCTGTGACTTCTATATACTATATATTGTATTTGTATTCAATGCTAACCAATAATACATAATACATTACAAGTTCAAAACCCCATACAGACAATTGGTGTTTCCTGATACATCTGTTATTAATGTATTTACTGCGATAAAGCTGCATTTTGAGTATTTAAGCTCCACTAAAATACAAATTAAAAAACAACAAACAACAACAACAACAATTTATTGAAAACAGCACCTCTCGTTATAACCCCATAGCCTCATTTACATACAATATGGTTACAGTGGTGCATAAGGTTCCCCTCCAGGTCCTTCACCATAACCCCATTCCAAATAACACAGTGAGAACCACATGAGGGATTCAAATGGAATTACAGGGCAGTCAGTTTGAACTGGTCTGGAAGTGTCCCTGGAACAATGGAACAACGCCCTGCTGGGAAAACAATAAGACAGTAAAAAGGGTGAGGGGGAAAGGCACATACAACCTAGACAATCAATACATTAAATTTAATACATATAACTAAATCATGTGGGTAAACATACAGGCACTCATAATAACACAATATAAAGAAAAAAAAAGGGTCTCTGGGCAGTGGGATCTGTTGTAATACAACAAACTTTGGGACCCTTTACCCACACGGACAACAGTCCCTTTTGAGGGGTCCAAGAAAAAGGACCATAGTCTGTGCTTCTCTCCAGAAGACTTTGGCATGAGAGCTAACTTCACTGGTGATATGCGAGAACTGGTGGCTCATATTTGTCTCTAATATTACAGATAGAGTTACAATTCATATTAAATAAAAACAAAAAAACTTTATTTATTAATGACAGTCAATAATACATTTAAAAGTATTTAAAATATAAATATTAAAAATTAAACCAATACTTTTAAATATATATTTTATTACAACATAAGGAAATTTTGTATGAGAATGGTAGTATTGGTCGAAATGAATATCACATTTTAAATTTGAGCAAATTTATACCATATTAAATATGGGAAATAAATCTATATAGCATTAATCCCTTAACGACCGCGGACGTCTGCCAAAAAGACAGTCGTTAAGAAATAAGAGCGCTAAACTTACCTGAGCCGGCGATCCACGGCGATCCCGGTCGGGGGGCGGGACTGCTCGAGACCCGAGCAATTCCCCTGCAGCAGCTCCAGCCACCCAGGCCCTCCAGGGCCATGTGATCACCATGATCACATGGCCGCAATAGAAGTCTATGGAGCTGCCTGCAGGGGACTTCACTAATTAAAATACCAGCAGAAAAAGTATATATATATATATATATATATATATATACTGTATGTATGTATATATATATATTTATTTTTATATTTATATATATATATATATATATATATATACATACATTCTACATATATATTTAATTATTAAAAAGTATTACTTTTATATAATCTATATTTACCCTGTAACTTTCCAAAACACCATAAAACCTTTACATGGGGGTTATGGTTATACTCGGGAGACTTCGCTGAACACAAATATGGTTGTCTTAAAAAGTAAAATGTATTACGACAATGATATCACCAGTAAAAGTGCAGTTTTTGTTTTAAAAAAAGGCAAAAAACAAATAAAAACGCTAACTTTGGCCAGCGTTCTTGACTAAGTGGCTACTTCAAAAGACTGAACATACACTATTTTGAATACCCTGGGTTGTCTACATTTGCATATGGTATGCCATGATGTGGTTAATTCACATTCCTGGGCTACCATATGATCTCAAAAGGCAACACAGACCCAGCAAACCAATCTTGCAACCTAAAATGGGCAAGCCCTATATTGACCCTGTAACTTTCCAAAACACCATAAAACCTGTACATGGGGGGGGTATTGTTATACTCGGGAGACTTCGCTGAATACAAATATGAGTTTTTCAAAACCGTAAAACATATAACAGCAATGATATTGTCAGTGAAAGTGATGATTTTTGCATTTTTCACACTCAAACGGCACTTTCACAGATCATATCATTGTTGTGGTACGTATTACTGTTTTGAAACACTAATATTTGTTTTCAGCGAAGTCTCCCGTGTATAACAGTACACCCCATGTACAGGTTTTATAGTGTTTTTGAAAGTCACAGGGTCAAATATAAGGCTTGATTTTCTGTTTTTTCACATTGAAATTTGACAGATTGCATATGTTGTCTTTGAGAGCGTATGGTAGCCCAGGAATGAGACTTACCCCCATGATGGCATACTATTTGCAAAAGAAGACAACCCAAGGTATTGCAAATGGGGTATGTTCAGTCTTTTTTAGTAGCCACCTACTCACAAACACTGGCCAAATTTAGCATTCATAATTGTTTTTTGCATTTTTAACACACAAACAAATATAAATGGTAACTTCCAGTGTTTGTGACTAAGTGGCTACTAAAAAAAATTTGGACCCCATATTGAATATCCTGGGTTGTCTACTTTAAAAAAATATGTACATGTGAGGTGTGATTAAGAGATTTATGACAGATAACAGTGTTACAATGTCACTATTGATACATTTTAAAAATATATATTTTGAAACAGCAATGTCCTACTTGTACTTATAGCACTGTAACTTGCAAAAAAAAAAAAAAACAAGCACATGTTAACATTGGGTATTTCTAAACTCAGGACAAAATTTAGAAACTATTTAGCATGGGTGTTTTTTGGCGGTTGTAGATGCGTAACAGATTTTAGAAAGTTAGAAAAGGTGTGTTTTTTTTTTTAAAAAAAAAACATCATATTTTATAATTTATTTTATAGTAAATTATATGATATGATGAAAATAATGGTATCTTTAGAAAGACCATTTAATGATGAGACAAATGGTATATAATATGTGTGGGTACAGTAAATGAGTAAGAGGAAAATTACAGCTACACACAAACACCGCAGAAATTTAAAAACAGTCTGGTCACTTAGGGGCTAAATATGAAGAAATTATTCTATACAATATTAATATGGGGAAAATCAATGGTGCAATAAATTCATCTGTAGAAATTAAATAAAAAAGAAAAAAAGAAAAAGAAACACATTCTTGTGTCCAAAGAGAAAGGGATAAAAAAAACCCATACATGTTAGTCTATAATAGCAAGGATGTCCAATTCATTACTCGAGCTATTAAACCCAGTGTTTTTAATTAAAATTAAAAAAAAAATGTTTCTTTTTTAGTAAGTACTAAGGCAAATCTCCTCCACCCAATGTGGCTCCCCCTATACATAGAAAGTTATTGAAACCAAAATTTATATAACTTTGATGCCTGTGACACTATGTTTCAAACTTTTTTTCCTAATCCTGTAGAAATGTTCTGCTAGTGTTACATGTAAAGTTCTAGTCCTTCTCTCTGCATACTGTATTCCACAACCATATTGTAAATTACATTTATACTCTCACAATTAATAAAATATTTAATATAAAATTTCTCTTTAGTTATAAAACTGTCAGGATTCTATCCTGACAACCAAGATATTGCTTTATTTTATGGCTGCAATACCTGTTTCTCGCCTCTTGTGGCCTCCCTAACCACTAGGCAATCCTCAGTTTCTCTCACCTGCCTCCAGGGCCAGATTAAGAGCCCAGTGGGCCTGGTGCTGACAATTATGATGGGCCTAATTACTTAATCTTATCGACCAAAAACACTAAAACAATCATACCTCTCAATTATCATGTATCTGATGGTGATGGTGTTGGAGGGAAAGTCAAAGGATGCAGCTAACAGAAAACACATACTCTATGCTAATCTCTCTCTAATTTATGCTTTCATATTTCAAGTAAATCCACAACCCCTAACAGCAGTGTCCAGTGAAGCAGGAAGTCAATAAGCAGGGTAAAAGGGTGGGCCACTGGCGCGAATCATGTGACCAGACCTGCCAAAAGGGGTGAACATGCCCAAAAAGGGGGCATGTTTGTCCAAAGAATCATGCAGGCTGGCCATCTAAGGGCATACTATGCAGAGAACACCTGAAATGATGTGCCTACTCCAAGCTTTCTAAGGACTGTTCGCTAGCACTCACATGTCCACTTGTCTCCTTACCTTCTTACTAGCAGGCAGAAGCTCCTGGTATATAGACTGGGATAGAGAAAAGGTGTATGTAGTGAGTGTAGAAGAAAGGGGACATGCTACAGTGTTAGAGAGACCAAATTCTGCATTACCTAAGCTAATGTTATTGTCAGCCAGTCCACACAAGTTTTGTTCCCATACATCCCTCTTAAGCTTCCAAACTTAAAGGGACACTATAGTCACCAGAACAACTACAGCTTTTTGTATTTGTTCTGGTAAGTTTAATCATTCCCTACAGGGTGTTTGCAGTAAACACTGTCTTTTCAAAGAAAATAACTCAATTGGCCACTTAGATGGCTGCTAGAGGTGCTTCCTGGGGAAGTACTGCCTTGTGTGCAGCACTGCTATTCAGTGTCTACACCCTCTGCATGCAGACACTGAACTTTCCTCATAAAGATGCATTGAATCAAT